TACGAAAAGAAGACCTTATATGAGTTTCATATAACTGCCTATGTCACACATTTACATTATCAATATTTTCATTTGTATACACAATTTGGCTACCTTAAGTCAACATTTTTGGGCGAACTTTTTTCCCCGACTTGTGTTTGTTGGTTACAAATGTAATAACCTTCCTTGAGAAGCATTGACAAGTTATAGATTCTACCACTTGCTTGATAACAGTGTGAGTCCCTACACTGAGACGTCGCCCTGTTGAAATAACAAACCTTGTTTATCTATATATATTATTATCCTTTCAATACATATACCGTATACGAGAAGTTAGTTTGATACATAAGCACATTGTCAAGTCAAAACATTGATTATACAACAGTCTCGTTTCCGGTTGACTGGGTTCCATCCTATTCCGCAACTTAGTACAATAACCAGTCCCGAATTTTTAGATTAATTCATTTAAATGGATTCATAAATGTTAATCAGTATTATTTGATACATCTAAGCACTTGTATATTGCAACACTACGCTCCTTCTAATCCTTACAAACACGTCGTGCAGCGTGCTCTGTCGTACAGCGAGCTCTGACCAACGGGAATCTGGAAATCGTTGAAATCTCAAAACGAGGCTCTGCCCCTAGAAACGTTTGGCGGTCTGGTACGGAATTGATATCATATCAATCACAATGTGCGTTACAGAACTACACTGAATAAGCGCAAAAAACATACAATATGTGTAACCAGTGAGTCAGATGCATTGTGAATCATTTTACGACCTCATCAAACAGGGCCAGTCTGTGACGTCTACACCTCGCCATAAAATATAGAAATAAGATGTTATTAAAGATTAAACTTCATTTGTAAATACAATTTTCTTATGAAACAAGGAATTGGAATTCAGTGTAACCATAGCTGTTTGTGATGTCTATTTTCACTTTCACACGATAAAATTCGGATCGGCTGAAAAGTAGGTCATTGTCTGAATAGGCTAATGAGACTCATGTTTCGGTTTCTTACAAGAACGTTATCAATATCTATTCTGGTATACGATGGGTATCCGTGATAACTGCGCGAACACGTCGGGCGACTTAGAATACAACGGTACATTCCTTCAGCATAAATATGTCTGGTGACCTCATGGTATTGTTCTAAAAAATATTAGTTCTAGCATGCTAGCTCTTTAAAATAGCTAAAACCCTTCACATGAACAGTTCCATTGAAATTGAAAAGTAAAGACCCCAGTCTTTCTGGACTTGTTCATCTCCTCACGGACTGCTTGTCTTGTTAGCACAGCTGAAGATAGTTGCTTGTGCGTGTTGGCCCTTCGTCAATTACTTCAAAAGTAAAACGTAATATCTCAAAAGCATGTATTCAGGAAAATGTTACTCTTTGACACTCAGAGACCGCCTCCATGGTGTAGTGGTTAGAGCGTCCACCCGGAGACCGGAAGGTCGCGGGTTCGATCCCCGACCGCGTCATACCAAAAGACGTTAAAATATGGTACTTGATGGTCCCTGCCTGGCGCTCGGCATTAATGGGTACAACAAGGATTGGTCGGCTCGGAGTCAGTATAATGTGTCTATAATTCATGCTTCACTGCGGCGTGGTATCTCAGTGGGCTAGCACTATAAAACCAGCTTCAGTCTGGGCTAGTACAAGCAGCAGGACATACACAAACACACGCATGCACGTCGTCATATGAGCGAAATATTCTCAGGCACGACGTTAAACCGATTATCACCTCACCTCACCTTTGACACTCAGCACAATCTGTATTACAGTAAGCTGCGGTCATAGCGTACCCAAAGCGACCACTAATTTTAAGTCGTTATATCTGTAGTTCTTTATGGACATTTCGACCAAAATATACGGCAAGTGGCCGCGTGTTTGTTATAAACGTGGTTCACGTATGTTTCCAGGATACACTTTTCATCGTTCATTCTTTATGCAATATCCATATAACATTGACTTTGTACGCAAGTGCAAACTTCGTTAGTACAGAAAGTAAACAAATAAATATAACAGTTTAAAATTATTATTATAAAGTTTGTGGTCTGTGCTGAGCACACATTAGTAGAAAAATGTCTGATCTGATATCGCTCGCCACGCCTGAGACCTGGGTTTGATTCCCCACATGGGCACAATGTGTGAAGCCCATTTCTGGTGTCGCCGCCATAATACTACTGGAATATTGCTAAAGCAGCGTGAAACTAAACTCACCCACTTTCCGGTGTTTGATCACCATTTAGAGAATAACGAACGAGGTACGAGTGATTACGGGAAATATGCCAGAGTTGAAATAATGTTCACAGTCCAGAGTCTTGAGGTACGAGTGAGTACGGGAAATATGCCCGAGTTATTTTAACGAGGGGATATTTCCCGTAATCACTCGTACCTTTTTGGTTATTTTATTTATTACCCATAATGTAATTTAAATAGAAGAACCACGAAATAAAAAACACCCCGGAGACAGGCTTTGTGACCTCAAACAGCTGATTCGTATTCATGCGCGTATTAACTCTTTCAACACCAGTCAACCAGAGGCATTTACTGCCATGACACCGAGGTCCCAGAGACTCCAAGGTCATAGATGAAGCCTATGTTTATGAAGGAAATTATAAGCTTGTAAAACGTTATTGCTACTTCATCTCATACACCATTTAAAAGATCTAATCCCACTGTTGATAAATATGAAGTTTATTTTTATAATATTATTCAAATAATACAACTACAACTTAAATAAATTAATTAATTTTTAATGAAAATGCAAGCTTACATTTATAATGTCCAGATAAACCACGAAAGAAGCAAAAACTGTGGCGATTTTTTACCATTCGTGACATGTCATAACATGCCCGTGCCTTTTTCTTTTATATTTTCATTTTACGTAATCAGAAAATTATTATAAAAAGATTTCTTAAATAATATGTATGGTCGCCTATTTCCAGATAACAGTGGCTTTCCGCTCGGTAACATGACTCAACAACGGAAAATACCTCAGTTTTAGAAGCTTCGTATGAATAACATGATAGGCGAATCGTTTGATGTCGGTTATCGTTCGCCGAGAGTATTTTCACAGTTGTAAGAAGCGATTTTATTGGATAAAGATTGGATTCTAATGACGCTTTTCCCGCCACAGTCTGCTATAAGGGTCGTGATCGGTGAAAATCAGACACGTGACCTAAGGCAGCCAATCATATTACGGCAATGGATACCGTCCTCGTAAACGAAAACGTTTAGATTTAGACGAAAGTTTTGGGTAAAATAATGCTATTCTGAACATATTAAGCAAGAAATCGCTAGCTATACGTAAATTATGGAACTTATTGGACGTATCGTGCTAGGTTATGACCTGTGACAAAAATGCTTCATGCATATATTTTCGCATTAAACATTGTGTCCGAGCGCGGCGGGAGCCGAGATGTCACTTGTCAGTGACTTGACTTACATGATCGCACATAAAAATAGTAATTTTATATGTACGTTTGACAACTTTTATGAAGGCTGTTGTTGATTTGAATGGGTTAAACTTCTCCAGCGGTAATAACATAACTATATCAATAACTATGGAAAATAGTACCTCGCTTTAGAATACAACACAAATATATTTTATGGGATATTTTATTAACATTTGTTAATAAGATAAAAATTATCTAACTTAATAACAGCTAAAACGTTATTGATCAAGTCAGTCCGCCGGAACATCGTTCATTCACGACTGACGTGTGTGTCTAGTTTGGGGAAAGTCAACGGTTAAAAGTTGGGAAATCTAAAAGACAACCATCCCACGAATACATCTAGAAAAAGATTTCTGTGAAGAAAGTCAACAAGTTTGAAGATTAAACAACATTTTGTTCTGTGGAAGGCGTGTTACAGTTACGTCATTGGTCGTAGCAGAGTATAGCAGTTCCAAGAAGGATAACTCCAGTCGGAATCCGAGTCATTGGGAAGAATACGCCTCTTTGGAGCATATGGTCGACTCACAGAGGAGTCATTCGAGATGTTGAAGTGGAATGCACCACCATAAAATGGACCTGTATGTACAGAATGAAGATTTACGGCATGCGACAAAGACTGTGACGTCATGGCGGCAGTCTGAGGCTGAGGCTGAGTGGGCAGAGTGGTGGAGTTACAAGGGTTTGACAACAATTTATTGATGGACTGATGTTGTTTCTCATTAATTGAAGAGTAACGGTTTATTGAATGAACATTTTTGTGCCCGGAATATTGTGCCTGGTTTTATGGCATGGACGCCGTGGCGGACTCACTTATTGTCACACTTTCAGGTAACACCTTTAGTCGGTATCTTGCTGCTTCTATTTCCCCGAATTCAGTTTTAACAACAAACAGGTTGTAGGAACTCAAGGGCTGTAGAATTCTTATCACTCTTCAAAGTCAATTTTAAACAGGTCATTGACCTTGATCGGGGTGAGCCTAATGGCGGCCATGTTTGTTTACAATCAATGCAAACGATTGTTTGTTTGTATTTAAAGTTATATATTTTAGAAAGACTGCTGTTTATAACACAATTGTATTGCACAATAATAATGTCTGATAAAAAAGAGTATTCATATGCTTTTACCTTTATGTTTTCTCTTTTAAATCTCGGAATGTGGGAGTACAGCACGTTCTAATTATCAATGAAACTGTAAAAGTTGCCAATGAACTTGGATCATGAAAAGTAGTTCCGTCAACCAATCATATTTCTTCTGCTTAGCTGACCAATCAACGTTGAGAATCACTGAAAAGCACATGTGCGATTATCACAAAAATAATCACTTGTGTATCCTAGCCCGTATGGGTAATAATGACAGTTTTCACCCGTTTAGTCATGGCCGGCGCATTGAGTGGAGATTCCCAACCAGTTGTTACATGACAATGGCTCAATGCATAATAAAATCTCTTACAAATGGTGTAAATATGACCCTCAACGGCAACCCTTTCAATTCTCCAGGTATCGTGGAATTGGTGTTTTCCACCTTGGTCGAGATTCAATCTGCTGACGAAAACAACTTGTCATTTGCTGAAGAATATTTATTTTTGAGAAACAGTGTTAGCAGGTTTACTAAACGTACAGTTATGCGTATATTTATACATTCCTATCAGTGCGTGTTTGGTTGTGACAAAATACGTAAAACAATAACTCACAATTTTAAACATTAACTAATTTATGTTCAAATTCCCATTCTCCGCTCAAGACACATGCTTGTATTTTGACGCTAATTTGAACATTGTTACAAAGCAGATAAATCTGTGAGATTTAATCAATGGAAACACACAACCAACATTCATATATCATGTACAGATGACATCCTATCGGTAGTTTCCATCAATTAAAGCCCTTGTGATTAGATCATTCGACTGGGGATATAATTTTTAATGATTTTATAAACATTCTGTTAATTAACCGCCATTTTAAACCAACCATTTGCACGGTACTTTATTAAAGGCAAAGGAAGAAAGCTACAAAATTCATTGAAGAATTTTCAGAGAGAGAGTATCTACAGAGTTAAATATGGATCATAGTCTGGCTCTGGTTCAAGATCGGGCCCAGGGACGATTCGACGTGACATTCTTCTGACCGGTGATTTGCCCCAGATACGCGAGCACGACCTGCTTGGATCATAGTCTGGCTCTGGTTCAAGATCGGGCCCAGGGACGATTTGACGTGACTTTCTTCTGACCGGTGATTTGCCCCCGATACGCGAGCACGAACTGCTTGGTCTTTCTTCGTAATCTGCCACTAGTGGAAAGGGCCGGTCCGTGGTGAAGCCTGGAAGAGTCGACTGAAGTCGAAAGGGGTCAAAGTAGAAGTTTGCTTCTCCGAGACCTGGAAGAGCGTTCAGGGCTTTCGCCTGGAGAAAAAAACAAAACAACCGAGTTAGGGCATACTGAAAACCATATGTCAGTAAGTCTAGATTTCTGGATCGTCGTAACATTCTGAAAAGATATTATTAAGTTTGTGTATTTAAAGAACAACATTGTAACTACTTACGGTTTGGTGTTCGTGAAGATCGGGGATAAAGCGGGCCAATCGGTCAGACCTCATCGGGGTTGTGGGGTCATCTGGTCGGCGAGTGGACATGAACACGCCGGACCCTCCATATTGCGCACGGGACTGTGGAACAGTTCGATTTGAATTTAATTACATGATGATATATCCGAAGAGTAAATACGTACAATGTGATGTCTAAGTATACATCTCCCCTTGTACAAGTGGCGACTTTGATTCAGATATTTGAAATATTTAAAAGTTAAGCGAAACATGTAAAGTCAATTAGAGAATTAAGTAAGGCTAATGTGACAGTGCACAATTTATCATTATATTCTTCATATTTGTATATTTTTCTGAATGTATGTATTTTATATATATTTGCCACAAATTTCACTTTCGTTTTGAAGAGTTGTAATATTGAAACGTCACTTCATGTCATGGCTCCAGCTGATGTAACGCACTTCGCAAAGATAATTAACATAAGCCATATACCATTGAAAGTGTCAACTTAAAACTTAATCCATTGTTCATTGCACCAGTAAATGTCTTAATGACCACCGTGCAGATGTCCAGGCGAACAACTGTAGAAACAAACTGCAATAAATCTGACCTAATTGACGCCAATTACTATTGTGACACGGTCATGTGGCGCCAGCTATAAAACTAATCCCGACAAGGGTTGTAAAACAAACCGTAATTAAACTGATGCAATTATCCTGTCACGGTCACGTGACTACCCTTCCAAAACTCGTTTCGGCTTGTCCAATCAGTAACTGTTTGATCTATGTCAACCAACCAAAATCGTAATTACCAGTATTATATGTTTTGGCCAATCGCAAAGAATTCCAACATTGATCAGTGATGTTTTCGGCTATAAAAGAGGTCAGTGATTTCCGATCGGCACACTTGACCTCACAATAAATGATGAAACATCTCCCTGACTGATCTTTGACTTACGGAATTCTACATTCTATTTTAAGGTAAATTCTTTGGTACAACTCTACGAATTCTGTCAGATAATGTCATGACTGGAATATATTTTTATGTATATGTTTATAGTGGCAATATCATGTGTATGTTTATTTTGCATGGACATTGACATGCATATATCTGAGTCGTTAATTGAATATGTAAGTGAACTAGATGTGCTGTCATGGATTAGTTGTGCCTGTATTGGACTCATGTATGGACACATTAGATGTACTTTACATCACTAATATGCTAATAGTGAACAAATTGGTTCAGTGGCATATATCATTTATATATGTTTTATATGACGACAGCTGAGGTATAATTGTGATTTGTGTTAAAATGATTTGTATGAATGATTTTGTATTATGATTATTATATGAAGTTAGGTTGAAAGAAGAAATATTATATCTGTTATACACACAAGCTCTACCGTTTGAGATGCTAATTCCCCATCAAAATGTGTGTATTAGATTATTGTTTGAATATCTTTTATGCATATGTATTTATGAATAACACACTTGACCTCACAATAAATGATGAAACATCTCCTTGACTGATCATTGACTTACGGAATTCTACATTCTATTTTAAGGATTTAAACTTGTTATCCCATAACGAGCCGGGTAACAAATGGTGGAAAAAGGGTTTCCCTAAAAACCTCTCACATGCCAAAACAGAAAGGAACAACGCCGTCCTTCAATGCCTACGGACTCCGGAGCAGCTCCCAAATTGAACAAGGTCAAGTCAGGCCCAGTACACCACCACTAGCTGTTCCACAACCTCCACCCAGAGAGCCAACAGCAACCATCAGACCCACAACTCCCCCGCCAACTGTTCCACAAGTTTCACCCACAATGGCCTTCAAGATCAAACACCTGGGAGTTGACAGGTTTGATGGTGAGGACAACGTCAACCTGTTTATTGACCGCCTGAAACATGCCTTCCAGCTACACAAACTTAATGAAGAACAACAAAAACAATACCTGCCTATGTTCTTGGAAGGCAAAGCCAAAAAGTTCTTCAACTCACAAGCTCTTCCAGTGGACACACCCATAGAAGACCAGTTGGAGTGTCTGAGAGAAAGGTTTGGACCTGCAACCTTTGATACTGCTCTGTACTCTGTAGCCCAAATGGAGTCAGAGAGGGTTCAAGACTATATGGATAGATTCCAGTCCATCGCAGCAGGGCAAGACATTCCTGATCCAATCAAGGTCAAGATTGCTCTGAAAGGACTTAAATCAACCATACAGCAAACTGTGGGCAATCGTGAGCCCAAGACTCTAATGGACATTCGGAGGTTTGGACAACTCGCTGAAGACCTCAATTTTGCAGCACCAACAGTCCAAGCCAGCTCCACAACAGAATCTTCTATCGAGGCCTTGCTAAAACAATTACTGGCAGAGAAACAAGCCCCAGTCATGCAAGCAGCAGCATATCCTCGACACCCACAGGCCCAGGCATTTGACCAACAACAGCATCCCCACAGGCAACAAACCCGACAGCACAGACCTCGACACCAAGGTTACAACCAACAACAGTGGCCCAACCAACATCCTAGGCAACGCCAACAGCAACCCTCACCACAATGGCAAAAGTCCCAAGGACAGCAGAGATGCAGAGGATGTAAAGGTTGGTGCCCTTCTCGTAGTGTTTGCCCATACAAAAATCATATTTGTACAGTTTGTAATTATGATGGTTACCCTGGTCACGCCAGTGAGGCTTGCATACGAGGTCAAAGATAGGATAAGGCACCTGTGTCTTCTCGTAAGGCCAGGTACCAAAGTAAAGCCAAGGAGTTTAAAACTCCAAAACAGAAAGTGCCATTTCAATCACCACTCAAACAGAACAAAAATGTTTTACTATTCCCAAATCTCAATATCAAAATTCCCCAAACTCAGTTGATTCATTAGTCCCTGAAATCATTAGTTTACAGATCCCTTTAATCAAGAACACCATAAATGTTGATATCAGCAAAACCAAACAAAGTGCTTTAGTTGATACGGGTGCAGCTATATCATGTGTCACCAAGAAAGTTCTCCAAAAAGCAGGCATTTCCTTGGCCAATCTTCAAAAATCTGCACATAGCCAAATTATAGGTGTAGGTGGTGATCATGTCCCTGTTTTAGGATGTATCAAATTACCAATCTCTGTAGGACACCTCATTATTGAGCACACATTTCATGTTTTTGCACATTTGCACTATTCACTAATCCTTGGCATGGACTTTATCACAAACCACAAGGTCATCATTGATGGTAGTCGTCGTTTAGTTCAATTTTATGACGGTGAAATTCATGTTAGTTTAGTTGAAACAACCTCGGGTGTAGCCAGAAACACCAGGTATCAGGTAATCCCTCCAAACACTGAAGGTAATATCCCTGTAACACTCTCACATGTTATGAACAATCAAGTGCTATTATTGGAACCAGTAGCCCAACTTTCCAAGATCAACCTCCTCGGTGCCAAGTGCCTAATAGAAACCAGAGGTAACAAGTCAACCATGAGAATCTTCAACTGTACAGATAACCCAATTTCTATTCCTCCAAGAAAAGTGCTAGCTATTGCATCCCACCTGAACATAGATCAGGTACATACATTGGATGACACCTCCCATTCATGTCCTGATACCACTGCATCTTCAGAAGCAAGTGACACTTCTGATCTGTCATTTGATCTCACTGAATCGGATTTAAATTCAGATCAAAAGGTTAAACTTCAGTATTTCCTCAAGTCACATCGTTCAGTCTTTGCTAAAGACTGGACTGAGCTTGGCAAGACAAATTTGCATCACCATAAAATTGATACCGGTGATGCACCTCCTGTTCGGATGCCATTCTACAGACAGTCCGTGCACGTCCGCAACGAGACAGCCAAACAAGTTCAGGAAATGCTGGATGCTGGATTTATTGAACCAAGCCAATCTGACTGGAGGTCACCTGTTGTCATGGTAAGAAAGAAAGACGGTACTTTCAGATTTGCCATAGATTACAGGAAGCTCAATGCAGTCACACGGTCAGAATTTTTTCCGATCCCACGCTTTGACGATGTTGTCGACACAGTAGCTCATGCCCAAGCAAAATTCTTTTCAGTGCTAGATTGTGCCAGTGGCTTTTGGCAAATACCACTGGATCCTACAACAAAACATAAGTTTATTTGTCAAGAAGGTATTTTTGAGTGGAACAGGCTCCCTTTTGGTTTAAAGAATGCTCCAATGGCATTTCAAGCCACCATTGCAAAAGCCTTAGCAAAGTTAAATTGGAAAATTGTGCTAATCTATGTTGATGATATCATTGTCTTCAGCAAAACATTTGATGAACATTTAGGCCATCTCAGATCAGTCTTTCAAAAACTTCAGGAAGCAGGTCTCACTCTCAAGCCAAGTAAATGTAGATTTGCAGCAAAGGAAGTTGTTTATTTAGGCCACATTTTTACCAGGGAAGGTATAAAAGCAGACCCTCTCAAAATCGATGCAATTGTGTCATTTCCTCAGCCAAAATCACAACAAAATATTCGACAATTCTTGGGTCTTGCAGGTTATTATCGGAAATTTATCAAAAACTTTTCAAAAATTGCTTCACCATTAAATAAACTCTTGCAAAAAGAATCAAACTTTGAATGGACTCCTCAATGTGAGCATTCATTCAGTTCTCTCAAAACTGCCTTAACTACATCACCAGTTCTAGTGTATCCTAATTTTGATAAGCCATTTATCTTAACAACTGATGCCTCCTCAGAAGCTATAGGATACATTCTTGGTCAACTTGACGATGCTGGGCGTGAACATGTCATATCTTATGCAGGACGATCTCTTCATCCATTTGAAAAGAAATGGTCAATAACTGACCAGGAAGGTCTTGCAGTCTTAGAGGGCATAAGAACATTTCATGTTTATCTGGCACATCGTAAATTCAAAATCTACACAGATCATAAGGCATTAACTTACATCCAAACTTGTAAACACAATGTGTCTGGTAGACTTTCTCGTTGGGCTTACAAACTCCAAGGATACACCTTTGATATTGCACATCGAGCAGGTAAGAAAAATGAAAATGCAGATGCCCTGTCTAGACGACCTTATCCAACACCTGCACAACTGCCAGACACCGATGACATACCTGCCTACAACTCTGTCATGCCAGTTGTCAGTCCCT